CAGCGTCGCTCGGCTATTTTTGGTACAGGAGGCGGGACCTCTCTACGCAACCTCGTAAGGCTTGAGTCACTAAAACGCAAAACAAAACCAACGGCCCCCCCCCAAAACAAAACCAAAACCCCAGCCTAGTAGTTTACAGTTTATTTTAAACATCCTGAAAACACCGCAAGCTCTGACTTCCGTCGTGCTCCCGCACGCGACCGCCCGGCCGGGACCCGCGGGGAGAGCCCCTCCAGGAAGCCCTGTGACAGTGGGGTTGTGCAATGTGGACGTTTCTTACTACAGGAAAAATTATGCATGGCACATTCTCATTCGTATTTTGTCATGTAAAAAGTTACAAACAGACCTAATCAAATAAATAATAATAAAAAAAGAATTTGAATGTATTTGTTAAGTATCCTAAAACCACTACATAGAATAATGGCAACTTTCACTCACAGATTATTTACATGGTAACACCCAGTGTGGGTTCACTGCTACAAAACTCAGAACAGAAGGAGTAAACTTGAAATGTTTGCCTTAACAAAGACCTAGCAGCTTGACTATCTAACGCTGTTCTGTCCCGACTGCTTCGGAAGGTTCCTTCTCAGTCTGTGTCTTCGTCCAGTTCGTAACAGTCCTTATCATAAACGTCCTTCACTAACAGGACGCGCACGAGCATGTTTTCCAAGGTGCCGCGGTCCAGTGAGGCCGACGTGTACCAGACGGGGCTCTCGGCAGAGCTGGAGCACTCTGGTTGCAAATAAAAAACATCCATTCTCTGATTAAGATTCTGTGGACTTGGGGAGAAAGGAGAAAGTCAATTTTACAGTATATGTGCAAAATTCCCCACAACTTTCTCTGCTTTCAAGAATAATTCCACTACCACCGCCACGTTACGTGGTCAGACCGCGCGCCCCGTTACCTAAGTTCAATAGTCTATCACCCAGCTATTTTGAAAGCTAATTTCAGTGATAAAAGACTACTTTCGCATCATAATCTAAACTCCGTATTTCGCTGAATCCAAGACACTGTTAATAGAAACATTCTTTTAAATCATTATTTTAATCTTGCCACTGAATGAGTAAAACACAGGCAGCTATAATTTTAAGATGCATCAATTACAACATGCATCCCAGCTGCACAGATGGTCAGATGTGTAAAATGCGCCTTGGAATTAATGAAGTATGGTAGCACATAAAATAAAGATACTGCGCAGCGTTACAAAATAGAGCCCTGATTTTTAAAACACTAACGAGGTAAGACTGAGATTGGAGTTTCCAGCTAGCTGACACCTACTGCCCCCAGAAGACCCCGGTTCTGCTGCAGGCAAACAGGGCCATCCCAAAACCATCGTCAGAAATATTACTCTCACCCTTAAGTGACACTACTGTTTTTATGAGTTCTTGAGAACTAACTTGGGGAGCTAACTAGAATTTATAACTCTATTTTCATTAAGAAAACATATTCTAAAAAAAAAAAGAAGAAAATATATTCCGAGTTCACATTAACTTTTGAAAATTAGAGAGTGCATACTAAAAATAATGGGCACGTGTAAAATAATTCATGGTCCCTAAACATTGTCGCCGGCTCAAACTTAGAAGCGTGTGCTGGCACCAGGCTGTGGGTGGGGGCGCAGGGCGCCTCAGAACACGCTGCCGGACCTTCCCGCAAGGCCGTCCCCCTCAAACGTGAGCCCTCCGCCTCTGTCTGCACCTCCCCAGCCCGCCTCTGACGCCGTTTCCCAGGAGGTGGCAAACCACGGCCGTCGCTGGTCTGGGCAGCCGTCCTCTGACACGCGTGGCTGTTTGTTTGCACGTAGTACGAGGCTGCTTTCTGGTTGAACAGCAGACTTGAGAAACTGCGCTAGAGACTCTACAGCCCACGAAGCCTAAAAGATTTACTATCTGATTCTTTACAAAAAAGATTCGTGCCCCTGGCTTTACGGTCAGTAGACGTGCCACAATTTAAAGTTGTGGTTTCATTAGCAGAGTGACTTCGTAGCACAGGCTTGATCCCTGAAGTCTGATGTATGAGCTGAGCACTTTATAGCGACGGGACTGAAGTCCAATGGAAAGGACTTGGGCATAAGCGAGAAGAGAGACCTGGAGAAGGGTCGGCGGGCACTGTCACCGCTCGGTGACGTTACACTCACGGCAGCGGCCTCTCACCACTACTTTAATTAAAAATTAACTCTCGTCCACACTCACCTTTTAGACAAGTAGCATTCAAACATTTTCACAGGACATCTAGAAGGATTGGCTGTATTTTCAATTTGTTCAAATACTGGCTCATCATCTTCATGTTTTCTCTTTCCAGTAGTAATTTTATCTTAAAAACAAAAATCACATAAACTTCCTAAGCCCAGCCTCGCCAACAGAGGCACGACCCACTTTATCCATCCCGGCCTGTCACACCGAGGACGGGACCGGGCGTCCTTCAGAGCTCCAGGCCATGGCTCCTGGACCACAATTTCTCCAACAGAAAGAACTGAGATGTTTTAGGAACACGAGGCCGCCTTGCTCTATGACAATGACAGCCCTCAGGCTCCAGCAAGCGGCCTGGACCGCTCCCGAGGCGAGGCTGGCTCTCTCCCCGCCGCCGCAGGACCCCGGGGAGGGGGCTGTCACGCTACCTTCGCTATCCGCGCCACATAAGGAAGACACCTGGTACCGCAGGCACGCTCTGCTCTCCATCGTCAGGGGGTTCTTCTTCCAGTGCCTGGCCACCGTGCCGAAGGACAGCCTCAGGTGCTGCTCCACGGTTTTCAGGCCGAAGTACTTGGTGTTGAAGTAGAACAGTGTGTTCAGAAGCGCCACCGGGGAGTGCGCGCCCAGCTGCTGGATCCGCCACAGGTAGTCCTCCTCGACCCGCGAGAACACGGACCCTTGAACAGAGCGCGGCGCTTTATGGCGGCTCGAGACTCGAGACGAAGAGCAGCTCCCCC